GATTTATTTTCTCCTTGATACACAGTATAACAATAATTTCTCCCTGTTTTAGTCAGGGGGATGCCACTAGGCCTGCCATATGGACTTATTTACATGTGACACAAAAAGTTTGGGACATTAAAAGTGTGCCATGAGCTGAAAAAGTTTGGGAAGCACTCACTAAAGCTTGAACAAGATAAAAAATGTATTGATAAGTAAAAAGTTCAATCTCAACTCACTGTTATTACACATTAACATTAAACAACTTTTTCACTTTTTTCTAGTCTTCAATATAAATATTTTTGCTAACAATTCATTTAAGTTGATTTTTTAAGTAATGTAAGGTGTTTCCAAAAAAATGTGTATTTGACTTAATTTTCAAATGTCTTGAATAAATCATTAAAAGCACTACTGATTAATTCTATAATATTTACTTTTGACAAATATAATTGCAAAATGACATAATGTTGGAAAAATGCCACGTAAAAAAACAGTAAAAAAAAATTTGAGAATATAACTGACATATCAATAATTACCTTAAGATTGTTTTGTGTTTGTGTGTGTCTGGTTATGCCAGCACTCCACATATGATTTTATTTTAGAATATGGATTGAGAGAGAAAGATGTTTTTTTATTTCCCTGAAGACCAGCCGTATAAGATCACACATACACAACAATAGTGTGGATAATGTGAGAAATATAAGACTTCACTTTGCAAAAGTTTCCATTAAATATGATACATTTCCTCCATCATTCACTCTACTCATCATATCAGTTTGGTAAAATGGAGGTGTGATGTTATGAATTCCACTGCATACATCTGTTTCAAAAACATCAGTTGTCTGGAATTTTTGTCCATGTAGGCCATCCTTTGGAAGACCAAAAAAGAAAGATGGAATAACAAGAGCAAGACTATATGTGTTAAGAAATTTTCTGAACATGTGTAATTTAAACTGAGTAAGTTTCAAACCAGCAACCTTGCTAGCCATAAAAATGCTTTAGCCAGCTAAGCTAGTATGTATCAAATGCTGCAAATTTCAATTTTTATC